AAAGTGATGTTTTTCCTACGATTCAATGTATGTGTACGATGACTCATACAACATGCACTTACAAAATAAAAATATGGCTATATAGGCTAAACACTAAGTACGTCCGATCGACATGAAAAATAAAGTAAACGTGTGAAAACCTGTTTTATCCTTCACAATCATATTTTAAGAGTTCGCGTAATTTCTGAAAATCAAACCCGTTTAAATGTAATTTTTCTGAAAAAGACATTTTTAACGTGTGCTAACCTTCGTTAGAGTATCAAAATTATTTCATGGGGTGTGGAATAGAGTGATGTGTCGAGATAAAACATTTATTCCCGATCAATGAAACACCGCTAAAGGCTAAAAATTTCAGAATATACTCAACTTTAGTAGGGCTACAAACTGGCGAAATCAGAATTAAATTTTAAAAAAAAATTGAGTTAGCTCCAGTGCATTAGGTCGTCTCTCGCGTGCAATCGTCCTAAGAGCCATTGCACGATAGCGGCGATAGTAGCTTGAAATCATCCTGTTATAAATGGAAGAATCATCAATTATCGTTGCTTACCTTAAAGACCGATTTGTACAAAGTTGAGCCTAGACGATAAAAGTTAGAAAATTCAGTTTTCTACACTTCATTGTCAAGGCACAAGTTTCGAAAATGCTTTTGTCATAGCGAAAAACTCGAAAAAACACTTTTTTAAGCGAGTTTTCGCTGTGAAGGAAGTGTTTTCCGGAGCTGAGTCTTGAGACAGTTTTGTATAAAATTTAGTTTCCTAAAACTTATCTGCTACACTAGACTTTGTACAACTCGAATCATCATGATAAACAACGCCAAAAAGCGTTTCTTACCACGGTGTTTGATGTGTACAGCTGAATATAGCGTAGTTCTGGCAGTGTTCTACCCACGCGAGAAATAGTGGACTCTAAGAGACTCACGAATTCGCACAGTCTGATGGAATGCTAGAGTCACATGGTGTTCTATGAAATCCATGTTGGTTGTTCAAAAAATTAGTTTTGTAATGTCCTTTCAGATGAACAGAAAAGAAATAGTTCTAGAAATATAAAAATTATTGTTTTATTCTGTTTTAGTCATTTCCGTTACTCTCGACAACCTATAAATTGATAAAACGATTTTATTTCACGGCGAACATCCACCAAGCAGTCTGATTAGGCATATATTTCACAGTGTTGCTCATCTTAACTGAAAAAGTTATAATACGATATGTTTTTTTTTAACTTTAGATTAACTGAATTTTAAATTCTTATTTCAGTAAAGTATATTTTTTTCTTTTGTAATTGTATTATTCTCATCATCATGGTCATCATCTAATATCTCGGAATCAAAACTATTGTCTTGATCATTATTATTGTTGTCGTCTTCTTCACTTGTTGCTTTGCCATTCTCATCTGAATCGGGCTCTAAATCAAGTTAGGAACGCTCATTCATTTTACTTGTTGTTTTTTAATAATTATTCATACCTGTACTTAAATCATTCAGTTTATATGCATGATTTTGTTTCAATAATGTTGACATTTTTAAACTATCAATAAATTTTTGTACTTGTTTATATACGTTTAAAATAATCTCCTCAATGTTCAGTTGATCAATATTGGTTATATTATGAAGCGGCAGTAAATCATTTTTTTTATGTTTATGATGGACGGGAAACACTAAATGATTTTCTGGACTGTTCGATTGTTCGAGACATTTAATGTTTTGTAATACCGATAATTTTTCAGCTCGCTGAAGAAAATCATCCACCGAGAAAATTTACCCTTGTTGAATAATAATTACTTAATGCACACGCATTTCTGAAAATAGATTCATACACTTCTGAATTAAATAGAAAAGCATTAATACATGCTGTTTGAAAGAGGAATGTTTGCTTTATTAAATCATGGATTTCGACATAATAATACGTTTAATTGTCTAAGCCTAAAAATTATGAAATTAAAATACTCCATATTTTTAAATACAGATTGTTTTCAGCAATGTTTTTAAATCTAGGCTGCCCATATGGCAGTTCCAACATAAATCCTGCTTCATTTTTGTAAACCAGACAATTCTGCATCGATTCATATATAACACAACATTTTAAAACACGAGTATGATATACTTTTAAATCAAATATTCGAGGTAACCGTAGGACGAGGCGTTTTTCATTTTTTTGTTACTGCTCTAAAGTTTTGATATGCATTTCGCGGATACGGATAGATGAAAGCCATCAAAAATGAAGAACAAACATTTTTCTGCAAAATCAGACGTCGACGAGTTTTGTACGAACTTCTGTTCGAATCCCATACGCATTTTACTAATGTCTTCTTCCTCATCCTCAGACAGTGTTTATCTCGGCCTAAGTATAGTGCTTGGCGTAAAACATGTGTAGAACGGAAGCGAAAAATTGTACAGAACTAATTTTGTAGGAAAATGGTACGGTACATGGGTACTCGGGAGCAGTTTTATAGGATTCTGCTCCCATTTAAAACTCAAATTCGGTTTTTCATACTCAACTCTGATGCTGAATCCGAATACTACGGTTTCGAAGGGCCAAAGTAAATAAAGTGTGGAGTCGATGAATTAAACTTTTTCGAGAATTTAGACTGATTTTAACGACTTTCACAAGTTTTTTGCGTTTTTAAATTCCTCCCTTAAAACTTATCGTGAAAAACGAAAAAAACCTTTTAACTCATGCATTCTTATAAGATGTTATATGTTTGTATTGTAAATATACTTTATTTTTGTATTCTTCTTTACAAACGCCGGTAGCGGTTTTCATCAGTATTCAACAGAGCCGTGGTGTTTCTGCTTGTAATATATCTTTTACTATTGTTTATTATTATTGCGTCAATAAGTAATAATTAAACGTGGAATGAGAACAAATAAGTCGGAGCACTGCGATTTTATTATTTTACATTGTTCGGAAAAGATCAAATCACTGATTTTTCAATGAATAGATTCAAATTAGTTCTCTTTCTTACTTTTTCTCTGATAATATATCCTACGGCTTCTAACACTGTTGACTGATGAAGAAAGAATTCTGTTATTATTTTGTACGGTTTCTTTGGAATGTATTTTCAGATGACTTTTCTATTAAAATACTAACTACTGGGTAGAAGTTTAAAAAAGAAACTACTACTGCAGCACATGAAAAGTACTAGAAATGAACTATTGGAACGTACTGTTGAGAAGTGCTTTTTTCTCGCAAGAGAAAGTACAAATAGCCTGCGGTTAGATATTATCGAGCATTGGAACTGAAAGTTTTGTTTCAGTTTACATTACTCTACTAAGCACGCAGCTTTATCATAAAGCATATTAACTTGATCACCACGCGAGTTGTTAATCATTCTCAATGTATATAGGCAAATTCATAAAGTATGTGAGAAATGACCGTGCTAAAAGACCATAAGAATGTGTGCTGAGTCGATGAAGAGAAAAAACCCCTCGCATTCTTTGTCTTTATTTTGCCGGTACACTACTTTGCAATGTATGATTTGTACTCTTCGTCAAGTAAAATAGACTCATGTTCGGTTTCAAAAAGTCGGAAAGATCGAACAAAATAACCAAAATGAACTTCTGTAGCTGATTAAAAGGTTTGTTAACGTGAAGAAAACGCGCTCATATCGATCCACTTGTAGTCTCATTTGTATTTTACTTCATATCTCAACTGAATCCGATGTTTCAACTCAATAGTACAAATGCTACATTTCAAATAAATCAGTACATAAAACGACTCTTCAAAACTGGAGTCAGTTCAATATTCAGCTG